GAAAGTGGCATGCTCTTTGAGACTGCAGAGCACGGAGGTCATTGTTACCAAAATGAAAAGAAGACGCCAGGCAGGGTTGCTAGCCCCTTGGCAAGCCTGGGTCTTCAGTGCTAGTAGTTGTGGGCAACGGTCAACAAAGATAAGGTAGGGAAATCATATCCATAGGCCAGCATGTGTTTGTGTCTATCTATATGTGTATTTGTGGGTGACACTTTTCAACCCAATTCCCATTCGCATTCTTCTCTCCTAATTTAAACACTTGGGTCAGAACATACATGTACCTAAATTGCTTGTTTAGAAAATACCATCACTGTAAGAACAAAAATAATATTTCCCAATAATGTTCCTCCTCATCTATGTGATTCCTGGGAAGAAGGTTTTATCTTAGATCAGCAGAGGTGACTAAATTGATTTGGTTAAAAAGGAGAGCAGGCTGCCTTTAAGATGTTAGGGGATGATTAGTTTTACTGTGGTGCCCCCTAGTGCCAGGGAAGAGTAGGTTAGTTTCTGTGTTGCCAGTTTTTAGATCCCATGCCCAGAAGGAAAATGTGAAGAATCACCAGTGTTCCTAACTGCCCCCTCTGGCATAAAATAGAAGAAATCAAGCTTTCCAACACTATTTACAAGATCCTGTGCCATCCATGCCTGCCTAGATCTTCAGCTTCATCTCCTCCCTCCACTCTCTATGAACACTCAAGGTCAGCCATGTTGACTGATTTGCTAGTGTGCCTCCCTCCTCCATCGCTCCTGTCTGTGTAGGAAATTCCACTCTTCTCTCAAACATCAGTTGAATTATTTAATCTCTTCCTTCAGCTCTCCCGACTCCCCTCATACGTACTCAGACACCTTGGGCAAGCCTTCATCCTCCTCTCCTCTCCTCTCCTCTCCTCTCCTCTCCTCTCCTCTCCTCTCCTCTCCTCGCCTCTTGCCCCTTGAGCAAGTTTCCACATTCTGCTGCCTTTTTGCCTCACCTTAAATCTGACCATTAATCCAAAGAACTTAAAACAGAAACAAATTCTTGTCCATGCAGGTACCCTATACTTCCAATAGCATCCTATATAAAAAGGCACTTAGAATGAAGGTAAAGATGCCCTAGCTGATAAAAAGAAGTCTAGTATAGGAGTCAAATTTGATTAGTTAATTAAGTACATAGGTGATTGTGAGCAATTTACCTACCTTCTTTTGGCCTCTATTTTTTGTTTTTATAAAAGACTAGCTAATACCTCCTCAAAAACTCAGAGTCTTTGGGCCATTTCATTAATACCCACTATCAGAGCCTCAAACTCTTTATGATAAATTAATTCAACACTGCAAATGTTCTTTTTCTAATTCTCAATGAGTTGCTCAGGAAAAGCAAATTTCACCTGCATTTGAAGTTATTTTATATATATGGTTGAATAATTTCTAAGAAAAAGACATGTTTGATTACATGTAGTTATTTAAATTAAGCTAATTCTAGACAAAAAGTCTAGAGCAAATTCCTCTTTCCGGTATTTAACAATACAAAAATAAATTGTTGAAGTTATGATATGAAACATCACCAAGAAACTGAATTCTAATTTTGGCTCTCCTTGACACAAACCACTTCTGCTTTTCCCAGCAGAAAAAAAAAAGCAACAAGAAGGTGAGATTTGTTAAGGAAAAAGTTCTTAACTCTGAAAAAAAGGTCACGATAAAGGTGACACAGAGCTTGGAAGACTTCAACAGCCCAGGAACACACAAGTATAATTTACAAAAGTGTCTCACAGGCTGGGGAGATAGTTCAGATGATATGGCATTTGCCTAGAAAATATGAGAAACTAAATTCAATCCCCAGAACTCACATAAAAATGCCAGGCATAATAGTGTGTGCTTGTAATCCTAGTTCTGGGAAGGTAGAGACAGGAAGATGTTTGGGTTCTACTTGCCAGACAGTCTAGCCTAACTGGTGCACTCCAGACCAATGAGAGATGTTGTCAAAGAGAGGAGGAGGCACTTCTGAAGATGACATTCGAGTTCGTTCTCTGGCCTCCACGTGCGACTGCCGATACACATACAGCCTTGTACACCAAAGCAAGCACGCACTCATAAACCCATACATATGCACGTATGCATATACACCCCCACAAACACTACAATAAAAATAATAAAGATAAAAGGCTTCTCACCCCCTAGACCAGTTTTCCTTCTGCTATTGCTTCCTAGTTAAAGTTCCAGATAAGACTGAAGCCTGGCACTTTACGGAGCACCTCTTGGCAACGCCCAGTGTGTAGGGCCAGCAACCGCAGCCTTTGGTTTTAGAATTCAAGCCACTGATATTCTAGAGTCTTTGCGTCCTTCCTCATTCTAAATGGGGTATTTTATGAACTCAAAATAGGTTATTTACGTATTTACAGAGAGCATAAATTAGAAAGAAAGTGTGTGCAGGAAAAGAGGATTTCTTCCAGGCTAGTCTTAAAAGCCAAGAAAGCTGTTCATTTGGGCACAGAAGTCTGCTAACATACCTTTTCTGTTCCTTCAGCGCTCGGCCTATTCTTTGAAATGCTATGTTCATTATCTGCTGGGCTGAAAGAGACCTCACTGTCCATCTCATACAGTCACATACTCTTACCAAAGAGAAAACCAAGACCCAAAGGAGAAAGTGAGCTAACTGCATGAGATGTGGGTGAGGACTGTCCTTTCTTTCTTTCTTTCTTTCTTTCTTTCTTTCTTTCTTTCTTTCTTTCTTTCTTTTTTTGGTGGTGGTGGGCATGGGGGAAGTACATTCCAAAGACAAAAACTGCTTTTCATATATGTGAATGGCATTTAACCCAGTAGTTATTATTACTAAATGAACTTGAAAGAAAACTTGACAGCCAGAGAAAGTTTAAAAGCTGTTACTTCAGAATCTCGACTGTAGATAATTAAGGCTAAAAAGTAAAGCTAAGAAATAAGGGGGAGAGACAGGATTTGTTTCAAAATATTTTGCTCTCACAATAGGAGCGGGGGGGGGGGAGGCAGTTTTCCTGGTATAGAATACGCTTTGCAATTCAGTTTCCCCTGACACAGCACTACAACATATGTCTCCCAGGAGAGCTTTAATTGCATCATCCCCACCACCTGATCCACCCGCAACCACAACACCAAACATTGGTGTTCTCAAGTGTTAAGGGCCCCTTTGTCAGAGATATTATCTTCCCCCTCTCATCTCTCCTCCATCAATACAATCTGACCAAGTTCCAGGGCAAACACATTCAACCTGTCCATGTTCTCCTCCCCTTAGTAAGTGAGGCTAAAAAGAATGATTCATAGCATTGCGCAGGTGCTACAGCAGTGCAAACGTTCTAGATAACTAAGGCCCCAGATCATCTCTATCAAGAGCAATCAGGCTCCTTATTTCATGAGACAGCTTCAATGTTCGATGTACCTCTCCTAACTTTTGATTCTACTTCTGAGCCAAGACCTCAGAAAACAAATTTTCTCCTAGATTGCAGTTTAACTTAAGGCCCTAGAGATGTGGCGTTCGTTTGATTCCCCACCTCTGCTATAGAGTTGCTGGTGACTTGAAGAAAGGACCCCTATTCTTTCCATGCCCTGGGGGACACTGAACACAGAGGCCCCAGGCACCAGCCCTTTATGCCTCTTTCACTTTCTGCTCTCTCTTGTTCTTCCCCGATGCCCTTGGTTACCTGGTTACCCTAGACTGGGGCCTTGTACCCTGTCTTCATCATCCCACAGAGTAAGGAAACACACAGCCCTGCGGTTTGAAATGGCCCAAGACGCCCTGACCTATTCAATGCACTCAGCTGGTCTATTTTTGGTTACTCTGTCTGCTTTCTTCCGAAAAGAACCGAATTCCGGTCTGTACCTTAGGCATCCTACCACGGACACAGTTCTCTACCCTGGTGCCTTCTCCCCAGAGTCCTTATCATCCGGAGTCCTGTGTGGAGTAGAGGTAGGAGGACCAGTACGGCGGAGCTCTAACTGGTAAAGCAGACTTGAACATACACTTTCCAATTTATGCTCTCTGTAGTTGTTTAAATAACCTTTTCTGAGTTCATAAAATGCCCCATTTAGAACAAAGAAAGACATGCCAGCTACATTTCTGGAGTTTGTAGGCACAAGTAGCAAGCACCCGACACGGTTCAGCGGTCGTGAACACATACACTCCCACTAGCTTCTATATACTGAAAACCCCACTTCCTGTAAACAGAGACAAGCCCAGGCATTTGCCTGGACTCTTCATCATATCCTGGTTTAATCTGAGGTAGCTGTACCTCTGACATGTCCATTAAAAATAAGTTCCATTTTGCTTGTCATCTATCACGGAAAGATTTCCTGAGATAAAGCAAACACTGAGGAAATAATTATGAAGCCAGATCCAATAGGAGGTTCAAGGGAGACTACAGACAGTTACCTTCTACAATGAAGAACATTTAAAAAACACACACACACACAAAAAGCACACGCACAAAAAAAAACCCTCTGGGGTTTTAAAGTGGTTGTCAAAAAACAAATGGCTATGAGATGAAGATATATGAGCGCACACACATGTTGTAGCTGTTCAGATAAAAAGCCAGTGATGGGAAAAAGCTGAATATTGACACCTTCAGGGTTATCAAAAAATCAGGTCTCTTGAATATCTGTAGATGCGTATGATAGGATCTGTTACTGATCTCTTTTGTAATGATGCCTTGATTTGATAGTTACCAGGATGGATAGGCAAAGCAGTGACCCAAAGCTTCAGGGTGACAGCTCACCAAGACACATTCAGATTTTTGCATTACAAAGAAAATGACAAAAAAAAAAACTAACCTAAAAGCAGGGCTTCTCTGCCCTTCAGCCTGCCCTGCCTCTGCTCCTGTTGAGCTAAGAAGGGAAGGAAACACCAAAGGGCATCTGACCACACATTACAATCACCTGGTGGCAATGGCAAGGCCCTCACCAGGTTTAACATTCAATTATTTCCAGGAAACTGCAGCTGTTGTAACTGCCATTCACCAAGATCTGGAGAAGAAGCAACACCCAGTGATGTATCTTACCGGAGCAGGATAGAGATGCAGGCAAATGTAGACCAGGCACAGGAGCAGCCCCACTCCCTGAATCCCAGAGACCACCATCGATAGCTTCTTCCACTTGAACCTTGGCCTTGATCCACTTTCCAGATTCTCATTCAGGGGCTGAACCCCTTCCATCTTCACAGTCTGTGTGCAGAAAAGATGCAGATGTGGGGAAGGGGAACCTGGGGAAGACTGATCTTTACCACAGAGAAGATAAGGGCACAGCCAAGCCTGCAGGTCAGAAGATAGACAAAGGTCCCAGAACCTGAGACAACAGGCAATTGAAGGAGTGAGGCAGACTCTCTCAGTTTTAACTCTGCAGCTTTTGCAGGCGGGGGAACTTCTATGTGACTAATCTGAATTTCCCCTTTACTTTCTTTCTTTTTTTTTTTTCCCTCTGGGCTAACAGGGAGTTGTTTTTGTGGCATTCCAGTTATGAATCGAGTGACTTCGAAATGACAGTCACAAACATGTGCTATTAGGGTTTTTATTGTAGTTTTTTATTGCACCAGTAAAGATAGATAAAGATCATCTTTTTGTTCTTTTACCGCCCCCCTTCTTTTTTAAGCACAGCTTCTTTATCAATCCCTCAAGATGTCTTAAACCACAGAAGAGATTTGAGGAAATTGCTGCCCTGACATCCTTGTCTGTGTTATACAATTAATCTCCCAGCCCTTTTTACGGACCCTAAAATAAAACCCACGCAACTTGCGCTTGAGATGAAAAGGACAAAGAGGAACATAGGATGGTGGATTATGCAGACAGGCATAAAGGTGAGGTCTTAGAGTTACATAATGCTTTGCGTTAAACCAAATAAATTAGTATTTATTGAACAACTGCTATGTGTCAGACACTGTTAAATGACCTTGCAACCATCATATTTATTCATTTCAAGGAAACTCAGTAAACACATAATTATTTTCTTACTATCAGAAAAGATACAGAAGAAAATTCTGCCCTCCCCCTACTCAACTTTTTATTTTCCCCACACATAATCTCTGCATGAGTAATTCGAGTTACCTCTGAGTATTGCTCTTTTCTTCCAAGTGCTGGCTAGACTCAAAACCTGCTACGTAAGAATATCTTCCCAGGGCTGGACAGATGACTCAGCGGTTAAGCTCTTCCTAAGGACTGGGGTTCAAATCCCTGCTCTTACATGGTGCCTCACAAGCCATCTGTAATTCTACTTCTAGAGGATCTGACTCCCTTTTCTGACCCTTGTGGGCAGCAGGCATGCAAGTGGTGCACATGCATGCAGACAGAATATCCGTATATTAAAAACGAAAACAAAAACCTTTACAAATATACCCTTCCAATAAACATTGATCACCCTTTCTCACTGCATGCACTTGGAACTAAATAAATGTGAAATAATAATGTCAGGTCCAAAATGGTAAAATATTTACTGAATACATGATATGAAATCAATGCTATGTAAGATAGTGAAGGGATGCTAGACATTACTGTCTCTCTACCTATCTCTATGGGAAAGTATATCTTATGGTTTCTCATGAAGCCTTCAACAGATATTTAAAGAAAGAATTGGGAGAAAACATATTCTGGATGCTAGAAATATAAGAAGATACACAAAACTTCAAATTTTTCACAATTAAAAACAATTATGGATATGAGTTATATTCAAAAGAAGAACAAGCAGTAGAAAATGGAAAGTACTTTGGCACAGTATCCAACAATTTAAATAACGAGGCTTTGCCTTTGAAGAACATACTGGAACTATGGCATACATCCAAGATTTAAAGCCAAAAGTGGGATTCGGGTTCTTCAAAAGCTACTCTGCCATAAAGAGATTCCCTCAGCAAGGTGTGAGCAAGGCCCAGGGTGCGAAGACAAAAGGTGAAAGAAAAATCTGTGTGTAACTCCTGCCTAGCATAATACACAATTAAAAATATGGCTGAAAGAGATATTAGGAGAAAAGCCCTAAACTCTTAATAGAAGCTAGACACAAGCTGAAACAGTAGAAAATGCATTCATGTTAAAAATCACAAGGGATAGTCTGGTTAGGCGTCAGTGTGAGAGTGTGTCTGTGTGTGTGTGTGTGTGTGTGTGTTGAAGCGCATGAGTGCAGGTATTTGCATGTGGGGTGGGCATGTGCATGGTGGGGAGGCACATGCATGAGGGGGTGGCATGTGCATGGGGGGATCCATGTAGGGGGCACATGCATGTGTGGCTACATGTAGTGGCTGGAGTGTCTCCTTCAGTTGCTCTCCAACTGAGTCTTTGAGGAATGGTCTCTCGCTGAACCAGGAACTTGCATTTTGACTAGACAGACATGCATACAAAAATCCTCCTGTTTCAGTTTCCCTGGCTCTGGGGCTATGAGCATGCTCCACTGCGACCAGCTTTTACACGGATGCTGGTTCAGAACCTCATGTTTGCATGGCAAGTGCTTGACTGACTGAACCATTTCCCCCAAGTCTTGGGAATATTTTAAACGACTGCTGAGAGGACAAAAATAAACAAACAAACATCTATGAGCACAAACCTGCGCAGCACGCACGTAGCTTCCCTTATCACTGGCATCTTGCTCCTCTGAAGAAAAATTAATAAATACTTTTTTTCTTCTATACAGTGGGAACTGTAGAATTGCTTAGTATCTTGTGCCAAGAAAGGAGAGGCAGCCAAGAAAGTAGAGCACAGTCATGCTGTAACTCTCCCTCTTGACTTCCTACTGCTGTTTTGCCTCCTGTGATCTTTATTGAAGTTTAAGTAGTATCTTACTCTTGTTTCTTTTTTATTGACCACAGTCTCTTGGCTTCTTCACAGCCCTTATGAAAGGGAGGACACACAAAAAATGCATACACATACACACCACACAAACACACCACACACACACACACACACACACACGAGAGAGAGAGAGAGAGAGAGAGAGAGAGAGAGAGAGAGAGAGAGAGAGAGAGAAGTAGAAAACAAGCTGGGCATTCTGGATGCGCTCTGTTGATAGACTGTGTGAGTTCTCAAAGTCACCACTGGGCTGCTCTAGCATTTGAACATGACTCTGAAAAACAACTGTCAGTTACATCACTGGTGGCATTTCAGTCCTGAGCAGATGGGCAGATATCTTGAAAATGCTTTTTAATAAAACATAGTTGAAAGGTTTGTAAAGAACTCGAGTGAATTTACTAACCCTGTGAGCAGTGTGTTTTAAAACATCTTACACAAACATGTCTGCCAGAATAAATTAGCTTTGAATCTAGAAAGTAAAATAAACCAAAGTGATTGCTTATCATAGGCATTAACCTCATATAGGGAGAACCAAAGCTATAGAGAAGTATGGAAAATAAAAAATACTTCAAAAGTTGACAGAACATTCTCATGTTCAGAAAGTAGCAAAACTTTTGGGGGCTTTTTTTGGTTTGGGGGATTTTGTTGTTGTTTTGGGTTTTCTGGTATTTGGGGCTTTTTGTTTGTTTGTTTGTCCATTTGAAATGTCTACGTATGTCATCATTTTCCATTCAGTAAGCCTGGGTCAGGTGCCTTAATCCTGGTGCTGGGGGAAAACACGTGAGTAAAACATATACTGAAGAAGAGTCACAGAAAGCACGTGAGGAAAACATCCTGAAGAAGAGTCACAGAAAAGAAAGTAGCATGGCCATAGCCTGGACGATGTTAGAACTGAGGTATCAAGGAAAGGAAGAAGCATGCAGCAAGAGGGTACCACTCTACACTGAAATTTAGAAAGGTAGCCCCCTGAGATGAGTTGGGTAGATCTCAGAGGAACCAGAGGTCTGATCTTCTAAGGAAGCAGGGACAGGCAGCGGGGACAGAAGCAGGCAGTACACTCTGGGCAAATCTTACTTGTGCCTTGTGCATCCAGGGAATTGCAGCTGGAGAGGTGCATGGCGGGTGAGATTCTGGGAAGCTTTCCTGAAATGAATTTTGTTACAAGTCAAGGACTTTAGAATGTTCCTTGAAGGAGCCAGGGAAACCCTTACAGGCTTAAGCAGAAGATGATGGGACTTATATTTTAGACTTTTTAAAATAAGGACTTGGAATACGTCCAATGCAAATTGAAGGGTGGGGTTAAATGTCTCCCACTCGGGAGACCTGTGTAGGGTGTTCTGTGCCAACCAAAAATGTAAGCATGCTCTATAGAATCACCTCTGTTTCAGCTCCCCAAGCCCTTCATCTTTTATCTTTCTACGATGGTATAATCTACTTCCCAAATACTGAAGGGCTGCTCCCTGCAGATTAATGTTCTTTTTCTAGTTCTTGAACCCAGAGAGGGTGCCTTGTTCCAATTCACACAATTATTTAAGTGAGAAATAGTATGATTATAAACCAAAGTAAAGAGACCAGTGAATGCAGAGATATTTACAGTGGCTCTTCACGCACCAAATACTTGGAACATTCACAAAGAGTTATAACCAAATGTCTTGAGTATTTGGGTAAGATCCATGGGAAGGGCTAGAGTTAAACACATTTTCAAATACTAGGTTTGCCCTCATTGTTATCAACCTGCTGTGGACCCTGATATCCTGGTTTGGCTGCCCAGGAAGCTCTGAGTCATAGAATTAGTACTGGCTTTTCTTTACTCTTGATCAGTCAGACTTTGCAGAGCCTTCTGTCCCCAAAGTGTGGCTCCTGGGCTCATGTTATCTTACTCTTTCCATCCCTGCTGCTGCTGCTGCTTTTGACACAAAACTGTATTTCTTCTTAGTTGAACTCCCAAATTAAACTTTCAACCTCCCTCTCTACTTCATTCTCATTGATTCTCAAACCATTAGTTTCTTATGGTCAGTGAGATCATAACCATATGGAGAACTGAAATTCTCTGGGCAGGGAGATAACTCGGCACACAAAGGACTTGCTGCCAAGCCTGACGACCTAAGTTCAAACACATGCAAAAATTCTCTCTCTCTCTCTCTCTCTCTCTCTCTCTCTCTCTCTCTCTCACACACACACACACACACACACACACACACATTTAAGAGTGAAATAGCTGAAATTCTCTAACTCCACATTTAGTCTTTCTAAGTTTCCTCTCCAAACTTACCTTCCTCTTTTTCTGTTTCTGATATCCACTCTGCCTCAGAAACCTTTGTGTTTTATCGCTCGCTGCCAAAACCCTACGAACTTGCTTAAGAAGGATGCCTTGTAAGGTAGGGGCCTTC